TGTGCCGGTGCTACTGCGCAGTAGTATGCTAGTCAGCTAGTGTGCAGTAGTAATAACAAGTACTAAACATAATGCACCGTAACCACAGCACATTAATGCAGGTGTAGACATGCCCTCAGTGTATCATTATGGTAGCACAAGAACATGTGCCCATGTCCTCTAAAGCCCCTTGAGCTTTGAGCTGTTTCCATGCTGTGAGCACCTGAATGCAGCTGTTTCTCAGGGATGCTGCTGTGGCAGTCATGAGATTCACTTTTGTTGTGAATCTCATGATACTTGGTGCTTCCTCCAAGCGCCTGGAGTCAGGCAGTTATGTGAGAAGCTTGACTATTTTGTTTTGTTTTTCACTAGATGTCTGGCACTTGTGGCTATAGGCAAAAGCTCAAGAGCCTGAGCAAGTGTGCTTGGCAGTGTCACAGCCAGAGGCAAATAAAAAGAACCCAAAATCTGTTGTTTAAAACACCATGATCTTTAAGCCAGTCTCATGGCTTGGGGGGTCTGACTCATGAGTTTTGAGTGCCTAAGGCTCGCAGTGCTCCCAGTGTCACTCCTGCTTTAGCTCCATAGCTTTTCCCTCTACATCTGCTTCTCTGCCCCTGTATGGCAGGTCTGTTGACTGCCACTCCAAGAGAGATCCAGGTCTCCTGCATGTGAGATGATCTACCTGCAGCTGCTAAATTCACACTAGCTTCCTAGCATATCTCAGGGTTCAATGGTTCTTATCCCTTGCTGCTGCTGTTGGCCTGGCTGCCCCTCCTCCAAAATAGTACCTCAGAATCACTGCATCCCATGCCCAAACCTCTGCAACCCTTCCCAGAGGTGCTGTAAACCAGTGGCCAGAGAGACTACCCACCCGCTGAAGAAGGGCCTTTGCTTTGAAATACTGGATTGCACATCTGAGCTCGGGTGTCTGCAAAATCTCACTTATACTGAACATTCCTGTGGACAGTTACTCATCTCTGAATGCACTGGGAGCTTTTCCAGTGTAAATCCGGCTTGTAAATCAGTAAGACCATATGAAAGCAGATTTACTTTCTGTACCTACACCCCCTGGGGGGGGCACTGGGTTTTTATGGGGACTCTGAAGCACTTCCACTACTCTGGAGACTCATCTACTTGATTTTTTTAAAGTGTACCTTGCAATAGCATGTGCAGCTGGTGTGATTGAATGGCAGTCCCCCTGTGCAGGGGTCAGACCATGTGCTGAAGATATGACTCAAGAGCAAGATATCTTTGCCTGCTAGATTTTATATTTTGTGCCAGAATGGAGGAGGTCACCAGTCAAGAAGGAAGCAGATTCACAGCGTCTTTGGAAAAAAATGGATAAATTGGAAAAAAGATAGGTGTGTGTTTCCTGGGACACAGCCAGGACGCTGCAGTGTGTTATGAGGTCAGTCTGCAAATCTGTTCAGTCACATTGGTGATCAGTGTCAGACACCAGGATTGGTGAACCTACTTCTGGGGGTAACTATTTGCCAAGGCAATTAAGTCCAAAGTGAGCATCATCTTATGCTACCACTCCAGGGAGAACATCTTCAGAACCGCATGTGTTGGAGATACATTTGCTGTCCTGCTTCTGCAGAATATTGACAATTCCTGTGATTCCAAACACCTTCTGTCACAGCTAATGAGAGATCACTTTTGCCCTGCCTGTGCTACAGTAGTAACCCTGTCTACATATGGTCAAGTTATTTTAGAGGAACACAGATTCATTTTGATGTATCTCTAAGCTAAAGCATGCATCTCTGACATGCTTATGATTGATTGGGAGTGGGGGAGAGGTGCTCTTGTTCTCATGCCAAATATAAACTATGTTAAAGCCTCGTGAGAGGTTTGGAGTTGTGTCCATATAAAAACACAGCACTTATTGGTGGGCGCATCCCCACAAGTGCTCATATGTGGTTTGTGGCACCTCAGAGGCACTGCAAACAGCACACACAGCATGTGCACCTGTGCACCATGCTGCTAATTTGCAGCATGGTGGTGGTGGTGGGGGGGGGGTTATACCAGGAGATCCCAGAGTCAAAAAATAAAAAAAACACTGCTAAAAAAAGCAGCATTATGCATGTGGCAGCACTGTGCCCTGCCAGAAGCCGGAGCCATGCTATGGCTGCTGGCCAGGCTCTGAGCGGCCAGCTCAGTGTCACTGCTGTCCTGGTAGGTCCCCAGGACCCCAGGTAAGGCTGCTGGGGCCAGCACAAATGCTGGCCTTAGCCTCCCTTACCCCAACCAGATCCCTTTGCTGTGCACCAGAGCACACATGCAGGAGCATGCCTGGGGACAAATAGTGGCACAAATATATGCCTCTGCCATTTGTCATGTAGGATACGTGCACCCCTGCATATGTGTGCTTGTGGGGATGCACCCTATGTGTCTATTAAACTGGGAAACATTATATGGGTATTCTACAATTGTTATTTCATAACAGAAGATCAAATATTGGCATAATCTCAGTCATAACGTCCTTAGGAATTTCAGCTATGCATGTGTGTGCTACCTTTGTTTAATTCATGGCCGTGTGGCCTCTAAAGCAAGGTATGTGGCATGACTTAGGTGAAAGCTGAGTAGAAGGTAGTTAGAGATTAAACAAGCTGAGCTGGATAAAGCATGCTGGGTGTGTGTCTCTTCACTAAGGACTGGATCCTGCAGTCACTGTGACAGGAGATAAGCAAATATTCCAATCCCCATCCTACAGGTAGAGAAGCTAAAGTCCAGAGAGGCTAAGGGAATTAACCAAGATGACAGAAAAAGGAAATGTGAGAATATGGGAGTTATTAACTGCAATCCTATGCTCAGTTCTTCTGCCGTGCTTCCATGTGCCAGTTGACTGATTCCACACTTTTTAAAGTCAAACTCTTTGCTGAGCCCATTTAATGTTGCGTGCCACATTCACTGCACTGCCTCTGTGCTGTGCCCAGCACTACCAGGAAGCATGTCACCTACTCAGCATGGCTTCAGGTGTGCCAGCTCCCAGAAGTATGGCACTATAGGCACCATAGAGCTCATGCCTGGCACTGCTCTAAGGCCTTCCATCTTGGGCATATGTATTGACATTTGCCAATGCTTAACGCCACTCTAAGGTAACTATATTGCCTCATTTTTAAGAACTGGCATGCACGGAGCAGGAGTGTATGGGACCCACTCCACAAAGGTGTTCCAGACAGTACAGAGGGAGTGGAGACATGCCCAGTGAGCCGGAGCATTTACAGAAGAAAAAGCTCACCTCTAGTGAAAGCTCATATTGGAAGTGTGATCTGTGCAGATGATCTTTGCGAATGCTTGGAGGGGGGCAGGGGTAGTTCATGCCTGGACCTTTTATCTGGACTCCTGTACTAAGCTGTGGCCCCACAAAGTGGTGGAAATACTGTCTGGTATGGGGAGGGGAAGTCACAACCCTACCACACAGCTGGTTTGTGACAAATAGTGGCATTTAAAATGTACATCCTAGGGGCAAAATATTCCAACCTCTACCTCTCTTCTTAATGCCAGCTAGTGGCCATCAGGAGCATTTCGAAGGCAAGCGAATGCAGGTGACTAATCCTTTGGTAATTGTCTTAACAAGTGTCTGCACCTCCCTTTGAGGGGAAGAGAGACCACACAAGAGCACTTCCAAGCAGCTCCTCTGAAGCACCTGTAAGTATAGCCTCAGTGATGTGCAGGCAGGAGAGAGAACAGTGTTAGTTGAATGCTCCGGAGAGGAGCGCAAAGCACTCGCAGAGCAGGCAGGTGGGGACAGTGCCCTGTAACCCACCTTCATGTGCAGGCTCATGTTGTAACAACCCCTACCCTTAAGCAGTCGGTGGGGAGAGATGAGGGCCAGCACCAAACACCCAGAGCTCTGTTACTTGGAGGTAACACCTCCAAGCCCTGGTTGTGGACCAGGACCTCCAGGTAACTCATGCAGCTGTAGGACAAAAAGATGGTCCCTGCCCCGAAGAACGCTTTGCTCTCGCAGGTCTCAGCTGCTTGTGAGCTCCCGTACTGGCAGTGGTAGGAGGCAGATTCTGTCTGGGGCAGAGAAACGCAGCCACTCCGTCATGGGGTTACTCGGAGCACTGTCTGGTGGTGTCTAGAGGGAGGGGGATCAGGCAGGGCCCTACTAGTGGTTCAGCAATGAAATGTTTGTGTTTTTTCCTCTTTTCTTTCAGATCCCGGTAAGGTGGAAATCCTGTTTCCCCAGCAGTTTACTCCCTGTCCCCCTCTTTCTTGATGTTAATGTTTTAAATAACCAAAACAAATACAATATTAGTTTGTAACTCTGACTCGGTGTGCTGTGTTTCTTTCTGTCACCAATTTGTGTGGGGGCAAATAGGCCCAGCGTCACACAGGAATGTTTTTTCACAAATGAACCGTTGCAATAACAAAACCTCGCATAAGTGTCTGGTCATACAGCACTACGCACTTTCCTGAAACTGGACACACATTAGTGAAACCTTGTGAAGCGGGTAGGTATCACTATCTCTGTTTGTGGAGAAACTAAGATACAAATGCAAGTGACTTGCCCTGATCACACACGGACGGTCTGATCCTGCTCCCACAAACATCAATGGAAGTAAGAGATGGAACGAAGTGGGAGCAGACTACGCAGTTCCTCCTGGTAGCTCCTGGAGCTAGAACAATGACTTAATTTTTTGCATGAATTGGTGATTACTATCATGGAAAACCACTGGTTTATTATATTTTGGGGTATCCTGCAAGTTTCAGAATGAAATTATTGGGAGAAAATTGAAACCCATCCACATACACAAACTAAGCTACTGATCACACCCTAAATGTTCAAGCCATGTTCTTTGCCATTTTGTTATGTGTGTGTTTCATATAACATAAGCTCTTTCCTCTAAAATAAAAAAAATCAAATTTTGCTAGTGAAATATACTGTGAAGTTATAGTACTTATAGCCCTGCAGTGTAAGGATGAGGCATTGATTTTAACTTAAGTTCTTCAAAGCTTAATGCATCATCCTTCATTAAGTAACATTTTTTTTTCTCTCTCTCTTTCAGACTTAACCAACATAATGACTGCTGAACATTAAGGGAAAACACAAGAAGGTTACATGTTTGGTTGTCTAATATTCTTGGATTTGATATGAATCACCACATCTATTCATTAGTATCATCAACAGCATCCCAGTTTGTATGCACATTATTCACATTCCTATCTGTTGTGTTTGCAGAAATGACATTTTACCCTTTTTCTAAGGGTTACCTTTTGATTTTCATATTTGGTTGCATGAAGTTGCCCTTTTCCAGTGGCTGAGGTTTATGAAGATATTGCAGACTTGTACACATTTTAGATGCCTTTTCTAAAGAGAAAAGGTGTAACTCCAAATTAAATCATTTTAAGTCAGCATTTTTTTAAAACAAGTAAACCTTAAAAATGAGTTTCTTACATGCAAAAACCACAAAAATCTATTCCACCTACAAACATAACTTTTAATTACTCTATAACCATCCTTTCTTGTTTTTTAATTAGTTACAACATGAAAGAAAAATTCTTCTTCAGTTAAGATCATTGCAAAGGTCAATAATGTAATAAAATACCTTTCCTTATTAGAAGTACCTAGCTAGTTATACTCTTACTACTTCTCAAAATCATGATGTAATGTACACTATCTGACTTAGTTCCTATATGTGGAGTTAGTGAAAGTCTTTTTTGTGTTTCTTAGATTAATACAAGGATTTTTTCCAATGCCAACACAATTTGAGCTCATTCATTTGGATGCTTTACATTTTTAAGCTTATTGTGATACAGAACCCTATGGGAAACCAGAACAAAACATCAAATTTTGAATACTGAAAGG